AGCAGCATGAAGGGATGATCTGGTGGAGAACAAAAGGGGAGAGATGGAAGGACCAGGAGAAGGGATGATAATTGCAAGCAAACACGCAGAGCCAGGCGCGGCTGGGGGGAGAGGAGGAAAATAATCACTTGAAAGAAACCAAGGATTTGGGGAGAAGAAGAAAAAAAGAAAAAGGCGATAAATAATTAAAGGAGATCAAACGAGGCAGAGCGCAGAACAGGCCTAATTGCAAGGATTCGCACTGAGGTTCGACATCTCCACCAGCCGCCTCCTGACGCAGAAGAAAGGGCAGCCGGGAGCGGCTCTGCGGCGCGGGCAGCGGCCCCCGATCAAAGCCCGGCGCTGACTTTCTTCATGCTCAGCAACCCTGCCCGAGCCGGCGAGGGAGCTGGGAGAAAGGAAACGCTGGCAAAAGGGGAGAGCGAAGCAAAGGCATGCGGGGGAAAGGGCCAGACACCCCATTATCACCGAGATGGGATGGACACCGGGCATCGGAACAGCCCCGCGTGCGCCCGCGGTGACCTTGGGCCATTCGATTGTGGCCCGGTGGCTGGAGGCTCCCATCGATTTGGGCTCAACCCTGTGGCCACACAGCTCTGTTCAGTGCTGAGGTGGGTTTGCCGGGTCTTCTCCTGCTGCCCCTGGGCTCCCTAAGCCTCCTAGCCCTTGGCAGGGATTTTTCTTCCCCGTGGATTTGTCCAACCCATCCTTGAAGCCCTAGGAAACACTTCGCACCTGCGCTGTGCTGCAGCAAGGAGACCCCTGCGTCCCGGCGCCCGCCTCCCTTGGCTCATCCAGGAGCTGCCGCTTGCTGTCTTCCCTGGGCACCTCCTGACTTGGAGGAGAAACGAGTATGGGAGGAAAGAACGAGTCCGAAAGGTCCTCTGAGCCGTCATTCATCCCTGGAGCCAGCCTTTGCTTCCACAAACCCACAGGGCAGCCCTCCCCGAGCATCACCCAGCGTGGGAGAAGCAGAGCCACACGTACCCCCACTGCGTCTTTGCCCATGGCCAGCTCCCCCAGCCTCCCCCGTGACACCGCCCGATCCTTCCCCCTGTCCCCGAGGACCCCGCAGGCAGCAGGTGCCGGGACGGGCAGCGCGGTGGCAGAGCTCAGCTCGGGCGTGCTAACCTCTCCTCACAGGCAATCAAACCCCGGCCCCGGCAGGAGTCCCTGCATATTAATTGCACGGCGTTATCCAGCCATCTGTTCCTGCAGCCAGGAAAAGAGCAGTCCCTTTGGTCTCCTCTATTAACAGGTTTCCCTGTAAATGCAAACAAACCCTCCCGTCTCGGCGCCGCGCTCCAGAGCCGCTTTGAGGCACCCAGGAGGGAAGCGAGAGCTCGCGGGCATTTTAGTAAATCACAAGCGGCGAATGCAAAGGTGGGGATTTCACGCTGCCAGGCGGGAGAGCCAGGGGACGGGGTGGAGAGGCCTCTGCAAAGCCAAAACCTGAGATCAGATGGTTTCTGATCCTCCTGCTCACCTTTAAACCTCTCGCCATCACCCTGCAAGGGAATGGGAAAGCTGAGCCGGCTGCAGGGGAGATCTGCTCGCACCCAACGCACCTCGGGGGGCATTTCCCCTCTCCTTTCCCTGTTTCACCCACCGTCTCCCTGGGCAGAGGATGCTCCGCATAAAGCACAGCACCCAGCAGGGCTGCTTCTCCGCAGGGAGGTTTTACCCCCCCTGCCAGCACTGCCCCTACACCGTGCCGGGTGCCACACGCAGGGCGATGCCGGATCTGCCCCAGTGAAACCAAGCAGGAGCAAAGCATGAAGCCTCGAGAAGGGGATCAGGCCACCTAAACCTGAGGTTGAGCAGGGGTGACAGCAGGCAGGGGACACCAGCACCTTTGCAAGGTACCTCCAGCCCCTCGGGTTTTGCTCCTTTCCCGGAGCCGGGAAAGCAGCCAGCTTTGGCACGGCAGAGGCTGCACCCAACTGCCTTCCTGGTGTTGTTTCCTCTGCTTCTCCTAAATATCACCGAAATGCCAGCGATTGTCCCCAGGCTGGGCCGCGCCAGCTGGGGGGGTACCAGCCCTACCCAAAGGGAAGCAGCTGCTACGATCTCCCAGCTCCCTGCCGGGGTGAGACGGGGCTCAGAGGTGGCAGGTCTGTACCCCACCCCAAGGGCCAGCCCTCAAACACAGCCAGGAAGGGGAGACACTTCTCCCAGGAACGACGGACACTGGGCTGCCAACCTGCACCCTGCTCCTGCAGGCACCCACCTGAAGCCCTCCTGGGACAGCAAGGTCTATCAGGACAAGGGACTGGAGCCACAACATTCACCATTTCCTTTTTCCCTTGTTCTGTCCTCTCCTGCACTCTACCGCGTTGCCCCAGCAGCAGGGAGTGGCAGGTGGGATCAAGTGACCTGACAACTGGCCATCTGGAGCATCTTTATTTATTACTCTTCATACGCATCCCCTCTGTATCTCGGCATCTGGACTCCAGCATGGAGCTGAGCTGCCTGAGGAGGCGGCAGCTCCGTGCACGTAAATGATGCTGCAACGTAAGGCAGCGGATGCTTAAAGACCATGGAGACCGCAGCCTGCTCAGTAAACAGGACGAAACGAACCCACAGAGCTCAGAGCAGGGCAGGTTTTCCACCTCCTCCAGAGCCGGCCACAGCAGCCTGGTTCCTCACCTCCACGGGAGGTAAGACCCAAAGGCTGCTGCAGCGGAGC